CATAATAGTATGAAAATAGGAAACAGAGAATAGGCCTGAATGGGTCATTTTCAGGTTGACAGGAATGTGATAAGCGGTGCACCACAGGATCAATAGGTCTCAACTATTTATAGTCATTAAGAATGACTTGGATAAAGGCACCAAACATAATGTTGCTAAATTTGCTATGATGCAAAGATAGATAGGAAAGTAAGAGGACATAAGGAGTTTGTGCAGGCATATAGATAGTTTAATTGATTGGACAAAAATAAAATTGACAGATGAATTATAATGTCAGACATTGTGAATTTGTTCACTTTGGCAGAAAAAAATAGAAAAACAGCATATTATTTAAATGGGGATAAAAATCACAGAACTCTGAGGTACTGATGGATTTGGGTGTCCAAACACATAAATTACAAAAAGACAATATGCAGGTACAGCAAGTCATTAAGAAGGCAAACAGAGTGTTGTTGTTTATGGGCCTATATCATTAGAGTTTAGAAGAGTGACAGTTAGTCTTATTGAGGTATATATGACTTTAAAGGGATCTGGATTTTTCCCCTAGTGGGAGAGACTAGAACTAAGATAAAAATGAGGAGGATTTTTTTTCTCTCACTGGATTGAGTCTTTGGATAAATCTTCCCCAAAGAGTGGTGGAGGCAGAGTCATTGAATACTTTTAAGGCAAATATAGATACAATCTTGACTAACAAGGAAATCAAAGGTCATCAAGGGTGCGTGGGAATGTGGAGTTGAGACCACAGCAGATCAGCTATTATATTATTAAATGGCAAAGATAGTTTAGGATGGCCTGCTGCCGATTTGTGTGTTTGTAATTAGCTCTTACAACTAATTTATATTTAAATACATAGGTTACAAGGAGGCTTCTGGTTGTTACATTTTCCTTTCACCTAATAATTAGGACTTAGTACACTCTGTTGTGTTGTGGCATAATGTGGCCAAAAATTGTGTAGATTGTTGCTTTTGAAAGAACATGGTTACCAGAGAGTGCAGAACAGGGTACCAGCTAGCCTACTTCACACTTAAGTAACAAAGTCACAAGTAAGGGTACATTTCATGAGGAGAATGAAGAATAATACCAATTGTTTCTCATTCCAGAATCTTTCATATAGTAATTTATTCAGGGAGAAGAGTATTGGTTCATCATTCTAGACTGATCACCAGCAAGGAGGTTACAATGGAGCTGTGTATGGTGTTACTTAGCTAGAAATAGAGTACAGTGTGCAGTTATGGTCACCATAGCATAGGAAGGATGTGACAGCACTTGAAAGGGTGCAGAAGGGATTCACCTGGGTGTTGCCTGGGTGGGAACAGTTCAGCTATGAAGAGGGACTAGATAGGCTGAGGTTATTTTCTTTAGAACAGAGAAAGCTAAGTGGGGGCGGGGGTAATCTGATTGAGATGTACAACATTTCTAGGGGATAGACAGGCTTAAAAGAAAATATTTTCCCCTTAGTTGAGGTGTAAATAAGCAGAGGGCATAGTTTCAAGGTAAGCAGCAGGAGTTTTACAGGGGAGTTGAGGACATTCTTTTCTCACCAAGCGCATATGGGTAACTCGTTGCCTAAAAAGGGTGGTAGAGGCAAGAACACTCAAGACTATTAAAAAATATTTAAGTGAACACTTTAAATGCCATAGCATACAAGACTATGGGTCAAGTGCTGAAAAATGGGATTAGAATAGATGGATGTTTTATGACTGGTATGGAGATGATCGATCAAAAGGGTCTCTTTCTGTGCTGTATAAACTCTATTATTCAATGACCTTTCTGTTCTGCAACATACCTTATATTTCATCACTGCCCCGTTTTCAAAAATGGTAGCAAGGAAAACAGGGGCAACCCTGTTTTACTCCTACTTAATTTAATTCTGAATCATGCGATTTAACTAATTATCAGGGACAAACTTAAAACATTATCTTCAAATTAATAACTGAGTAAATAACAGCAATCAAAAATAAAAACAGAAAGTGCTGGAGCCTTGGCAGGTTTTGTAGCATCTGTGGAGAGAGAAATAGCAGTCTATTCCTCTTGCACCAGATATTGCTAGAAATGCCAAGTTTCTTCACTTTGTTTTTATTTCAGATTTCCAGCATCTGCAGTCTTTTGCTTATAGATACCTGTTTATGCAGAGGTGACATTCCTACTTCTGTGACATGGATCTAGATCTCCATGATGTATTCATATATTTCTGTACAAGTGACTGTTAATTTGTCTCAAAACTGTGGTTGTTGAGGGTAAAGTTTTGGAAATATATGAAATTACAAAGTGAGGAGAATAGTTGGCCCTTTCTGGAAGGCTTGCAGTGAAGTGCCGAGGGCAGTGGCCAATGTATAGCCACAATATTAATTTCCTGGTCACTGACCTGATTGCTCTACCTGGTCACTGCCTGAGATCAAACCAGACTGTTTGCAATTTTGGCATCCTATTTAACTCTGAGCTGAGCTTCTGATTCCAAATCCACTTAATCACCAACACTTCCTGCTTCCACCGCTATAATATCACCTTTCTGCCCCTGCCTCAGCTTATCTGCAGTTGAACAATCACCTGTTACTCTTCAGACATTACTCATTAGACTTTTACACTGGACCTTACATTGTTACTCTTAGACCTGACTATTCCATCATTCTCTTGGCTGATCTTCCACGATGTACTGTCCATAAATCTCAGTTCATCCAACTTCCATGATCTGTTGCCTAACTTGCATCAAATCCCATCCACCCACCACCATTACATTAGCTGCCTACAGTGGCTCCTAAATAAAAATTGAAAATGCTCAAAAAAAATTACAGATTTGGCAACATCTGTGGAAAGAGAAACAAGAGTTAATGTTTCAGGCATCTTTTCTGACCTGAAATGTGAATTATGTTTATCTCCCCACGCATTGTTGTGAAACCTGCTGAGCATTTTTTTTTCAGATTTTTGGCATGTATTCTGCTGTCACATTTTGACTGTCAACCCATGCAATCCTCCACAGGCTCACCTTTCCTTTTCTCTATTACTTCTTCCAACCCTACGACCCTCTGCAGTTTCCACACTTCTCAAATTTTGGCCTCTAAAACATCCATGATTTTCATTAATCCACCATTAACAGTACGCCTCAGCTGCCAGGCCGTAAGATCAGTATTTCCCTCCTCAAACATTTTCTCTCTTTTTTTTTTAGAATGCTGCTTAGTATCTACATCTTTAGCAAAGCTTTGGATCTTATCTGATATGGCTCAGTGCCAGATTATGTTTGATAATTCTCGACCGGATACTGACTTGCACATATAATGTATTTAACATAAGCAAAGTGCTTCCCAAAGCATTTGTTTCACTGGAGCAAAAGGATCATTTCACTAGGGTGAAGGCAACATACAAGTGTGAAGTGTTTTGTTGCTGGAACCATGCACAGCAATTAGGTTCGAGGTTTGTCTTCAGTCACATAGAGTTAGTCAGTTGTTCTCAGCCTGCTTGGATTAAGGATGGGCTAAATCAGACAAGATTCCGGTTCCAAATCACTACACAGGATTTAGGATTGACCTTTGACATTGCGCATGTTAATAAGTGACCAATAAGGTTTCATTGTCAAGGCTCATGTGAATACTTAGGTGAGTAGTACTCAATAGTACTGATACCAGAGGAACAGTGACAAAAGAACAAAGAAGCTTGCAGTTATATAACGTCTTTCACAACTGCAATCCAAAAATACTTTACAGCCAATTTAGTGGGTTTGAATCATGGGTGAAGGGATTGCAGCAGCTAATTCAAACCACAAACTGAATGTTAATGAGTGTTAGTGTAAATGATCAGACAATTTGTTATTACTGCTATTAAATTAGGAATAAATATTGGGCACCATGCAAGTCTAACTCCCTAGCTCCTTTCCAAAACAGTGCCATGGGATCTATTATGTCCACCCGAGAGAGAACAGATTAAGATCTCATCCAGAAGGCAGCACCTTTGGCAATGCAATTACTCAATATTTCCCTAGGGTTATCAGTCTAGATGTTAACGCTCAAGTCTCAAGTAGTGCAATTAAATCACAACATTCTGACTTAGAGGTGCGAGTGCTAATGGTGAGCCGCACTGACACTCAGCACCCTGAACAAAGCCAGTTAAAATAAAGAAATCGCTTTTAATACCTTACCACATCCTCAGATTTCCCAAAGCACGTTACAATCAATGGATCAGCTTGCCCGGAGGGGAAAACAGTTTAAAAAAAAATCTTGGAAATGAACATACTGGGTGTACTGCAGTTCGACGAGGTACACAGAACAATTCGGACCGAAATATGTCATTTATAAGTTTTGCTGACTTTTCCTTCTCCCTACATTTATGAAGGTAAAAATTACCACAGACTGCAAATGAATGAATAGCAAAAAAAGTAGAGTGAAGTTGACCAGAATTTCCTCGTGGAAGAAATTATCCTGAGAAATGAGGGGAAATAAAATTCATGAGAACAAAATGTGGTTGGCAGTGCAGTTAGAATCGGTGATCTGGTACCCCCGTGTCTGTGCAGCGTGGTGCAAAAACAGTAGTAGTCATTGAAAAACGCCTGAAATAGCAAATTCGTTACATGAATCAGGAAGTGAGAAATCGTTCCAGTCCTGACATTGAGAAATTGTTACATTTCCGGTTACAACGTAGCGGGGTCTTTTTTTTCTCTTTGTCTGCTGGGATTTATCCAGGCACCTGTTGTACAAAAAAGAGCCGGTTAAGAAGTTCTGAAACTTTCGTAGGTCGTGTGAAAAATTCTTCACAGATATATATATATATAGTTTCTAAAATAAAAACTTGATGGTTAGACTCTATTTCATCACGAGTATGAGTAAATCCTGAGACAAATGATCCCGCTTGCGCTTCACATTTATGGCTGGTTGAACGTCACTGATTTCTCAAACCGGATTAACTTTTCTCTCCTCCTCCACCTCCCTTTCCCGGGAACTCTGGAATATGAGGAGGAGCCGCCGAGAGACGTCAGGCTTTGCGGGGTCCTGACGGCTGCGAGCTGCTCCAATGAGCTCTCTCCACATGCGGCCACTCGAGGTCTCGCTGTGAGAAAGGCCCCTGCCACTCAGCTCGTTATAAACGTGCTGCTGCCGGTGGCCGCTCGCTCACATTCATTCGGCTGAGCGAGGCGCTGCTATCGTGCCGCCTTCAGAGAAGCAGCAGCAGGGTCTCCGTGTCGCAGTCCTGCGGTTCTCCACTCCATATCACGTTTCAAACAGACAAAACCCACAACAAAGAGAGGAGATAAAAAGAGCAAGAATTTCTGTTTAAATTATACCCAAGCGGAGAAAAATAAGCAAGAGATTGAGAGTTCTATATAAAAAAAAATATAATTTTCTAAAAAAAATTCTATTGAAGTGGTTGACCCGAACCTTCCTCCATCCACGCTTGTCTTTCTCCCCTTGTGTGTCAGCTTGTTTCTGGTGAGGAAACACCAGTTCCGCGGACAAGAAACCGCAACTCTGAAGGACGGAAACCTGGAGTGAAACCATGGAGAGCGCGCACACAAAGACTGTGGATGAAGTTCTAGCCTATCTTAACGTCAATGAGACAACGGGTCTTAGTTTGGATCAAGTCAAGAAACACAAGGAAAGATGGGGACCGAATGGTATGTGCTGGGATGCATCCTGTCGGTGCTGCTGTGGTGTCTTTCGATGTGTCGTGTGTTATTCTCTCTCACACCACCCCCCCCTCCAAGTTCTTTCCAGCTTCCCACCCCCCTCTCCCCGTTCGTTGTTGTAGTAGTAGTATTAGGCCTTATTGCAATGTATGAAGCCGGCATCTCTGCGTGAGGGAGACCGAACATGGCTGACTCACCGCGATATCTGAATTTTAAATTGTATGAAAGTCACATTTTGTGTTTCCTTTGAGAGGCGGGGGGAAAAATGGTGGTTTAAGGAAATGCAGTGTATTCTCAGACCTAGCTTTTTCATACACCAGGGACCTAAATTTTGCCGGTTCCAATCATCCATTTGGCTTAACCTGCAGCGGAGATATTGTAATTTTTCTTATAAAATATAATCTCCGAAGGTGAGGAGTAATGGTTACGCGGTCAGTTGTGTTAGCATCCTTTTCTTTTCAAAAAGCTATGCTTTTTACTTGAGATGTGATGTACAACCTTTCATGGCACCATGACTGTAGGATAGTCGTGGTCTAAATTGTACCGGTTTTTTTTAAATTTCAAGCGTGACTTTGTGTCCTTGTCTTGAAGTCAGATGTATTTGCATGTTTTTAACGCAGTTTTCTTTTTTTCTCGCATATTCCATGGTGGCGCCACTCATTTAACAGAGCTACCTGCAGAAGAAGGTATTGTAGATCTTATGTGCTTTTATATAATTATTCTTAATACTGAACTGTGATTATTTTTAATGTTGAACTGATAGCTTCCTTCTGTTTCAGGCAAATCTTTATGGGAACTTGTGATAGAACAATTTGAAGATTTATTGGTTAGAATTCTACTCTTGGCAGCTTGTATATCATTTGTGAGTACCTTTTTTTAATCAAATGAAGTTATATCAATGTCATGTTTTCTACCTAGGGTGATTATTTTTACATATATGTGCATTTATTGAGAAATTGAGTACTGTGGACTGAAAACTAATCTGTACCCTTGCGCTAACTAACAATGATTGGAATGGTGTGTGGTATTTTAGTCCAGTCTGTCTTGATAAAAGTAAGGTGACAATTGCAGCTTTTTGACGAGCAAGACTGATGTCTGCAAAGATGATACACTTCTGTTGACCAAATTTGGCCAGTGACCTTCATGGGGACATGTGTGGTATCTCATCTCTCCTTGACTTTTAAGGTTTATAGCATGCCAGTTAAAATGGTTTTGGGTCGACATGACAATAATAGAAAACAATGTTCGGTCACGGATTGGGTTACACTACTTAATGCAGTAGCTGTACTTGTTGTAATGGTTACCCAATGGCAGACAGAAATAAATGTTCCTGACATACGTATGAGTACCAAATGTTCTGCTAAATTGAGTTTTAATTCAAGTAGTTATCCATTGCCGCTTTGAGGTGTAAAGTACTGTCTTTATGGATATCTGTATACATGAGCATTTATGTCACTAACAAAAGTAATCACCAAAATAACTTCGGTTATAGCCTCCTTTCATTCAAATTGTTTAAAATCTGATTTTATACTGTTACAATTGAGTAGAAAGCAGGAATCATTTGCAAGAAAACAAATTTAATTTTTGTACAGCTGATAGTGGACAAAACATTTCTTTGACATACTGTGTTCCACTTGATATTAATGTACAGTTTTCATGTTTCAATGTTATTGCATCAGAGGGTACTATCAAAGAGCTAAAATTTAGCTGTGAAGTGCACATTTGACATTAGTGTGTATAAATTTTAGGGGTCAATGTTGAAGTTTTGTTACTGTTTCTGTTACTCATTCCAGGGCACTTAAATTCAGTTTTGAATTGTAAATACTTTGGGGGGCTGTGGGGGAGGGGGTGCAGTTCGACTTAATGAGAAAAATCTTATTGGCAAAAATGAAATGATATCGAACAAATTCTAAATGATGTTTCAAAACATGATTTCCAAGCAACTATTTAAGAAAAAAGTGATTTCTTTGATTTAATATATAGTAGTAGAATTACTAGGGCACTTCAAGAGAATATTCTCTGGATAACTGGAAGTTTTGGGGCTTTCAAGTAAAAGGCTACTGGAGAGCGTAACTCGTGACATGACTAAAGATAATTTGGGGAAAGGTATTGCTGTGAATTGTCTGGGTATAATGGACTATGCATAAGAGGTTCAAGCACAAATGTATTTGAAACAGTTGAAACTGCACTCTATTTATGGCTTACATGAGTTTAAGGAAGCTGGTGCACTGCAAGACTTTCCATACAAGTCTTGGAAAATCTATACAAATGAAAACAATTCTCAATGTTGAAGTACCGCTTTAAGTATGTGAAACATAGTGACAAAGTTAGTGATGTGATCTGAGTACATATATGTCCAGTTTGTACAAGAGTGGAGCACTATCAACTAATAAAGAATCTGAGTTTGTTTTAATTTCAAATGCCACAGGGAGCTTGTTCTGCTTGTCATAGCTAGTTTTCCTAAGGAAAATATTTCATGATAGTTACAGTCCTTTTTGCTGAAAAGCATTTCATCTCTCACTTAAAATGTGCTGACCAAGAGAAGAAAATTAATTTATTGCAGGGTGATAGTTGTCCTCTAATATGTTCCCAGAATAGCCATTCATCAAATCCTGAGTGTTGGCAGAGCACTTAACTAAAAGAGATCAATGTTGATCTTGCCGCATCAAAGTGTTCACACATGGGCAATTCCAGGAGGTGTTTGGTTTTAGGAGAAGAGAACTGCTGTTTCCCAAGTCATTGAACTCATTTTAGCACTTCTGAGTTTTCTAGTTGAAGCTAACTACAATGTTATCTGATGGAGATTGGATTCCAGCCTCCTGAGAAAGGAGGGAGATTAATGTATAGGACATTAAAGGGTGGTGTGTGGGATGGGGGAGGGGGACTGTGGAGTCAGCAAGGGAAGAGCGATTCTGTCCTATTCTTCTGAAATGGTCACAAAATCTAACTTGCTTTTCTAAACCAAAAGCATTAATTCAGAATACAATAACAAACTAGTACCAATACTAAAGTTACAAGTGTGTCCCCCCCCCCCGGTTCTAATCTCCTAGAAAGGGAAACATCCTTTCAGTATGCACTTTGTCAAGTTCCTTCAGGATCTATCTTATTTCTAGAAGACCATCTCTCGTCCTTAACTCCGAAAGGAAACAGCCTGGCCTGTCCCTTCTTTCCTTCTTAAGATATCACCTTCATGTATCCCAGGTAACAATCAAATGATTCTTTTGTACTGCTTCCAATAATTCTATATTTTTCCTTTCAAATAAGTAAACCAAAACTGCACAGTAATCCAGGTCTGGCCTCCGCAATACCTCAAATAGACCTATAACAAAATATCCCTACTTTTGTATTTTATTCCCCCACAATAAATGGCACTCTGTTTGCTTTCCTAACTGCTTGCTGTACCTCATACTGTTGTCGTGACAGTGATGCCAGCATACACTATTATTAGTATGTGGTGTACTTGCATTGGTAATACTGATTTCTAATGCAAGGCTACTACAGCCCTGATTATTGGTTCACAACTACTTTTAAAATGTTCATACAGAATCATTTCTTTTAGATTGCCAAGTATTGCAAGTACTGTACCAGTTAGTATTAAATAATCTGTTGCTATTTGAACTAAATAACTTGTTCAGTTACTTGACCTTAGCCAGGTATGTGCAGAAGAACAGCAATGCTAGCATTAATGCTGGTGATATTAGCAAATAAAGTCAGGATTTGGGGAAGTAATAGAGTCTAAGTTTCTACATAAGCAATTCTAAAAGAGAAACTCCTGGAAAACCAAGCAGATATTTCTAGAACCACTGGAGTTGAAGTAGTCTTGCACTCCCTTTCACTTGCGGTCATGTTGAAGCTGATCATTAATGATAGTATGTTTTAGGTTATGGTTAAGGGTCAGTTCCTTTTAGTAGAACCGTAGATTATTGGTAAGGGGTTGTGGAATGACTTGCTGCTCTTGAACATTATCATTGCCCTTGCCAGTTGAAACATGATGTGGTCTTGTATTTTAGCCTACAGAAAGGTATCACGTCTGGTTTCAAGTCATATTCAAATGTTTGACCTAAAATTAGTTAATCCGTTTTTACCATCTCTTGCATGCAGTGTCAGTGTTGGTAAATCACATTTAGTACGGTTGTCTGGAACTGAGCTTTTGTATGCTTGATTAAAGGAAACTATGACAGGCTAAAATATGTGATTTAGGGGAAAATTTGTTTTTGCTTCAAAGCTACTCTTCTCTTCTCTTTCAGCCAATTTGAAGTTATCTTGTTCTTCCAACTTGATGCCTAGAATTAAAATTGATCATACATTCTTTTTGCATTGCACGGTCTGTTGTGTTCCGTCTGCTGATGGCTTCGATACAGTGAAGGCACAAGAAGAAAAATTGATTAAAGGTGTATAGGAACTCCTGTCAATTTCTAGCAGTCGGGTACTAAAAGGCATGGAAGGTCTGGCAGGTTCATCTGACTGTGGAGGAGGTGCATAATGCCAGAGAGGAGGAGACAAATACAAAATAGGGAGAGGGAGAAGATCTTGTCTATATCACTTCTAAAGTTATTTTCTAACAGTGTCTTAAGAATTACATCTATACTACGCATCAGATTTGTGGTTGAACCCATTTATGCAGTTGTAGCAAAATCGTATTTTGTATCTCCAGGGACAGATAACTTGAACCTGCCATCTTAACATTTTTAAACCATCAAAAAATGTTAACTTTTGTGTTTTACATTTAAATTCTCACATTCTTCTGTTTTTGACAGTGTGCATATATATTGTACTTTTTGTTTGGGTGATCCATTTACTCTTGCAGATGTAATGTGATACTATGTAATACAAATTGTTTTACCGGCAAACTAGAATAATAACTTTCATGTTTTATGCTCCAGCTTTTAGTTTTAGGTCTGGACTAAGATGCTACCCTGTTAGTGCTATCTGCCTATAGTTCTTAATTGTCTTATACGGGAGAGAGCTTTGTACATAGGTGGTTAAGTGCATTGTTCTGTCAGCAGTTTGAATTTATTCATGAAGTAAGTGTTAGGGTCATGGTGCAACATTTTACTTTAACTACAGATTTAAATAGTGCTTGGGACATCTAAGAGATCTCCCAATAACCTGATTTGATAGCACAATGGAATTGTACTTGGATAGTTGAAAGGATTTAAATAGACTGCAGTTGGACTGTTTCATTATTTATACAAGCTTTTGGCTTTGTTTTATCATGTTCCCTTTTTAGGAAGTAAATCTTCCTGGGAGTTTTCTACCACTTCAGGACCAGCCCTAATTCTAGATTAAGTGCACTAACTTGTAGTCTAAATGTACACTTAAAACAACTGAATTGTTTCAATATCACAGACCGTTATTTTTAATCCCAAAATACCGTTTTATAATAAATTCCATAACATTCAAAAGTGCATTGCAGTTTGCATTATTTCTGCACAGCATGTGGTGCTCTTGAGATGCTTCCAATACAACTGTAGTTCTACATGATAGTTATAATCCACATTCCACGACACAGATATTGATTTTACAGTTGTAGCTCTTTGGTATATTGTATCAAGTTGACCTTGGACAATGTCCTTTTCTTACTGACCCTTTGTGGGTGCTTTAATGCACCCCCTACACAATTCTGGACCTTAGAATATGCTAACTGCAGACGAGGTCACATCACTTTCTGCAACAACAACTGGAATATAGTTTCACGTAAACAAAAAAACTTCAGAGATGATGATTCTCTGGCGGTAGTTGATGTTAATCTGTGTCCATGCCCCTAAGAATAGCATATAGAACACTGACTCCTGGATCGTGGAGCTGATGGGGGTAAACCTTGTTTAAAAACACTGCAAAGTCACATTCCAGAGGGAGGTGAGTGATGCTATATTTCCCGACCACAACTACGTTGAGGGCAGTGTGTGGTGAGGGCTGGGAGACTCCAAGTATGCAAGAAGGATCTGATGTGGAGTTCCTTTCTCAGCAGTAGCCAAGCTGAATCTTTGAAAGCTCTGGTGATGAGGCATTTGCCAAATAACTGTGTTCAGGGATCAATTTGACTAACTTTTTTTCAAATATCAAATGCTTGGTAGATTGTACTCTTTTCAGTGTGAGCAATCCCTGATATACTTGCCTTCTTTAAACCTGGTGGAGAAGGTGAATGTACTCTTACCAAAGCAACAACAATAATAGTTGCACACAATCATGTTCAAACTGGAATGTGTTGATTTAAGCAGTGATCCCTTCATGGAATTGTTTTCATAGTTGTCTCTACATTGAAAAAACTGCTTTCAAATCAAATCTGGTGTCCTTATGGATAAGGTATGTACCCCAGGAGAATGAATGCATAGTTTTTGTTTGTACATCAAACACGTAATGAAGGAGAATGAATGTTGTCAACATATATGCTTAAGTATCCAGAGTGTTAATGTAACCATTTTCTTACACTGCTTACAATCTAATGTTTTGGCATTTTGTTACCTGTTTTGGAAGTAAATTATAAGGAAAATTAATGACTCGTTGTAGCTGCTGGGCATAAATGACATACCAAATAAAGCAATGCTGAATCAACAATGGATATGGCATTAAATAAAACCTATATTGAATGGAACAATATGAAGCTACTCAACAAACATGTGTCCCTCTTCATCCTCCAGTTAAATCAGATATGGAAAGGAACTACTTCATATAATGCACTCCAGATTCAATGCAGGAATAAAATTGAATGAAATGCCCATTTCTGTCAAAACCTAGACTGGCTGAGATGGGAGTTAAGAATAACAGTCAAAGCAGTGGGAAGAATGCTGAAGTTGGGTTAGGAAGCAAATCTAGAAAGCCTTTTTTAAAAATTTGTTTAGTGTGTATGTGTAGTTAATGAGATGTTCAGTTATAAGACAAAAAATTTGAACTTGTGATTGCGATACAAATAGTTTGCAACTTTTCCTGTCTATTTGTTCAATCAAAAATCGTCTGTTGGTTTGAGTAGTGTACATAAACGTTTTTCTTTTTTTAAAAAAAAAAAATTGTGATTTGGGGGATAGGATTAGTTCTGGGAGTTTTGTCTTGCATTGTTTCAAATTAGTCTCTGATCTGTGCTGTGGATGTTACTGTGTAATTGAGATTGAATCCTGATTGCAAATGTAGAAGGTATGAGAGTCTCTAAATAGGCCTGCAGCACGCAGGTGTGAGCATAACTTGAACAGTCTTTGTATTGTGACTAAGTGAAAACATTCTCATGTAAAAGTCAGCCCCTGACTTGGCAAAAATCGGACCCTTTGTACTTGCCTCCTGCTCACTGCTGAAGTAACACTCTCCCTGGTGCAAGCCCACTTGTTGATAAAGCAAATAGCACACCATTGAAAGCAGCTGTTCAGCTTGGTGATATCAAAACCAGCACCTTACAAGGAGGGCTTCTCGTGCTGTGGTTGTGTCCCTACCTCTGAGCCAAGAGGCCTGGTTCAAGTTCCACTAGTGTGTAATAACATCTCTGAACGGGTTGATTAAGAGGGAGTGGGTGGTGAATCTCACTGGCATATACTGTTCTCCCTAGCCCTAATGTTTGATATGGTAACATGGTGTGAAGAAGTAATGGCAGGTACAAAGCAGAGTTCAAATCTAAAAATATTTCTGGCTCCCTTTTCACTACTTTCAGGGACAAACTTTGTGGAAACAGTCTCCTAACTGGCAACTGTGGCAGTGAAATGGTGGATTGCAACCCCTTGAAGCTACTATATATGCAATAACTGAGCCCTAAGCCTCTACTCTGGCTAAAAATTTGGTCTTTGAAACTTGACTTTTACATGAGTATATATAGTGAATCTTTTTTTTCATGTTTTGAATAGTATATTGGAAGTTATAATTTAAAGGTTTTGAGGTGTAATTTAACGTTTTCAAAGCTGCAGTAACACCCCAACACTTGTATTTTTATATAGGATCTGACCCACGTGTCCTGTAATATGCATCTGAGTTTCTCTCTCATTTTTCTTTGATTTCATTTGGTATGACCCACTTTTGATGCATGACCTACTCCTGGTATGATACATCAATTTTTCCTTCCCGAGAGAATTGTGCTTAACTCAAGAAAATTGTACATTCACTGTGCCTCACTACACTGCATTTGTGTGGTTGTTCGTCAGTCTTGTAACATTGGCATGTTAATGTTTGTGTTCCCCATTATCTACATGAATGACATATCACCCTTGGCAAACCAAGTTGTTGGCAATTTCTCACAAGCTTGTCAAAGTTGCTAGGACTGTGTAACTTTGCCTGTTTACTTCCTGTTGCTGAGAAGTTGTCGTGAATGTTTGGGTGAGAGAAACTCAAGTTCCAGTTAGAATATTTATTTATATATTTTAGCGACACTTGCTGTTATGTGATCTTAATAATCCTCAGGAATCCCCCATCAAGTTTTATTTAGTTTGCATTTTTTTTTGCTTTGGAAAGTGTCTCTTTTCAAGGGAAATGGGTAGTACAGATAATTAGGAAGTAGTCTTTCATTTCTGGGATTGGATTCAGTGTCTGTCAGTCACTGTCCTGTGTTAAAGTCCTATCAAATTGTGAATCAGGAGCTAAATTAGCAACTGGGGCTACAAGGCCCAATATGGGGAACATTATTATATTGTAGCATTACAGGTGTCCACTTTGAGAATACAATCAGTTTTTTTTAAGCCCTGTAAAGTTATAATTGATTTGTGTGAAACTAGAGTATTTCATGCCCCAATATTAAATTCGTTACCTGTCAATGCAAAAGATCACCAAAGCAGTTAAAAAAAATATATCTTTTTAAGTTATTGTATTCCTTCTTTTGGTTTAGTACTTGACTGTTCCAGTGTGTCTGTGACCCCAAGAAATTTTCAAATTTAAGTTTTGATATGTTTTGTTCAGATGAATATGTTTCTAGAAAAATCTGTTTTTAAGAATTTAGAACTGAGATCAAAGTGTAGTCCCTTTTTATGACTTACAAACTAATAGAGTATTGAGTTTTATACTGATTTGTTATATCTTGGTTTCAATTTTAGAGGGCATCCAATTTTAAAATGCCAACAGTGAGTTGATTTATTGATACATCACATATGAGATGCTGAGATAACAAGGTGTAGAGCTGAATGAACACCGCAGGCCGAGCAGTATCAGAGGAGCAGGAAAGCTGACGTTGCGGGCCTAAATCTTTCGAAAGGGTTTTCTGAAGAAGGGTCTAGGCCCGAAACGTCGGCTTTCCTGCTCCCCTGATGCAGCTTGGCCTGCTGTGTTCATCCAGCTCTACACCTTGTTATCTCAGATTCTCCAGCATCTGCAGTTCCTACTATCTCTGAAACATACGAGATGCTGTTGAGTTTTGAGATGTTACATTTTAACTTAATTTCCACACTTTTAATAGAATTCATAAATTATAAACATGAGCTTTTGTTTATACCTTGTGTTTTTATAATTGTCTGAATCAAAATGAAGGTGACATTTTGTAACTGAATCTGCTGCAAATGAACCTGATTTTATAAATTTAATGTATTCACCATACTCCTTTCATACTTTCAATTATTTTAATTAGGTACACTGTATAAATGAAAATGAATCCTAAAAATACATAGAACTACAAAAGTTCAAAGGGTTCATTTACAAGTCCTTGAGCTTGTGGCACTGAAGTTTATATTCATTGAATGTATTTGTGCACAGAAAGTGAGTGAAGAAGAGACATTTTTAATCAATACACGCACTTTGCCAATGCTGGAAATAGAAACCCTGAACTCATTTAAAATGAAACACTGTAAACTGCAGTGCTACAGACCAGGTGCTGTGAAGTGAAATCCGAATGGCAGCTAGTGTATTGGATTGATACAGACATGATGGGCTGATTTGGCCTTTTTCGTGTGGTGATCTTTTTTATGGTATACAGAGCTTGAAAATGCTGAAGGACAAATTGTGTAAGAAATGCACCAAATTATCTTTAAATGCATACAAATGTAGAATGAGTAAGTCACTGCATTATTGAGTGAGCTGTGTGCTTCACACAACCTTATTTGATCATTTTGTAGGTTCTGGCCTGGTTTGAAGAAGGTGAAGAAACTGTAACTGCCTTTGTGGAGCCTTTTGTAATACTATTGATTCTGGTAGCAAATGCTATTGTGGGTGTTTGGCAGGTAAGTTATCACTTTAAAACTGTTTTAGTGGACAATAGAATATTTGGTCATTCGAACCTCTCACCTGCTCTGTCATTGAAGAAGGTTGAAGCTGATCTGATTGTGGCCTCGGCTCTGCATGCCAAATTGCCACTAGTAATCTTTTGATTCCTTTTATTGGTCAAGAATCTATCACCCCACCTTCACTGCACTTTGGAGCAGTGTGCTCCAAAGACTTAGAAATGTAGCTAATAGGTGCAGGAGTAGGCCATTTGGCCCTTCAAACCTGCACCAACATTCAATATGATTATGGCTGATCATGCAATTTCAGTATCCCATTCCTGCTTTCTCTTCAGACCCCTTCAGCCACAGGGGCCACATTTAGCTCCCTCTTGAATATATCTAACGAATTGGCCCCAATAGTTTTCTGTGCTAGAGAATTCCACAAGTTCACAACTCTGAAGAAATTCTTTCTCCTCTCAGTCCTGTATGGCTTACCCCTTTATTCTTAGACTGTGACCTCTGGTTCTGGCTTCTCCAACATCGGGAACATTCTTCCTGCATCTAACCTGTCCAGTCCCATCAGGATTTTGTCTCCGAGGTCCCCCTGCTGCCACCTCATTCTTCTAAATTCCAGTAAGTACAAGCCTAATTGATCCCATCTGTCTTATGTCAGTCCTACCATCCCAGGAATCAGTCTGTGAACCTTGGCTGGACTCCCCTCAATAGCAAGAATGCCCTTCCTCAGACTAGGAGACCAAAACTGCGCACAATACTAAACATGTGGCCTCACCAAGGCCCTGTAACTGCAGCAAGACATCCCTGCTTCTATGCTCAAATCTTCTCACTGAGTGTAGCTTCTTTTTAAAAAAAAATCACTTCTAATACTTGAGGAGAAAACACAAATTTCCATATTTCCATCTTAAATAGGAGACCTTTTTTATTTAAATTTTGACCCCTAGTTCTAGTTTCTCCCATAGGGGCAACATCCTTTCACCATCCATCTTGTCAAGTCCAATCGGATTTTGTATATGTTTCAGAAACTTGCTTTCATTTTAAATTTATTTTGTGCAGTAAAGCCATTGAGGAGGATTGAATTAATAACATGACATGAAGATTTACATGAATGATGAAATTTGATCAGAGTGGGACCATGTTCCTTTCCCATTCCTGCTTCTGTTAAAATTGTATGTCTATGTACATCAGCTGGAGGGTCATCATGGGAGCAGAAAAAATTGTGAATACTGATGTAGCCGTTTGAGGTCAAAGAACTGTTGTGAAAAAAACAACTTCCTTTTCTCTCCATTTCTCAAGCGCTTTCGTAATTATTTTGCCTGCTTTACAAATTGGGTCCCAAAATTGTGCACGTTTATTTTTCTTCGGAACTTGCAATATTTCTACTTTCAAAGGATGGGGAGTAGGACATTAAATAATTAAGGTTGGATAAGTTAGTAAAATTGGGAATTTTTCTCAACGCCAGCAATCCATCTCTTGCAAAAAAGATTTGTGGATGGTCTGTCACTTAGGATTTTCAAGACTGAAACTCATTAGGTTTTTGTTGGTCCAGGTACCAATGGATATGGAGAAAAGGACAGTAAATGGAGCTGATGTAAAATTACTATTACATGATCCAGCTGAAGGGCTGAATGGCTACTTTTTGTTCCCGTTATTCTGAGAGAGTGCAACATTTTCAATAGCCTATGGGAAATAATGCGGGGCAAGGTGCTCTGTCATCAAGATATTGGTTCCAGATTTATTCAGCAGTGAGGCACAGTGAACTATTACGTTTTGACTTGCATCTGCAGTCATCAAGTCCATGACAGAAGAGGAGCAGGCAGCTCAGTTTTAAATTAGTAGTGTACTACCTATTTTCCAGAAGGAAGTTAGTTATACAGCAGCATTTTCTCCAGTTGGATTTCAGAGGTATGTATTTCAGTTGACATTAAGTGTTGTTTTTAATTCATTTTTTTATCCTCTTTTTAAATCATCCTTTTTTTTTTCCTCCATCCTCCATTTCAAACATACCCAAATTTTTGAACAGAGCTCAGTGTTGCAGGAGAATACAAGGCACATTTAGACACAATTCTGCTTCATCCACTTCAGGTTTCTGAAAACCTGATTTGTTTTTTTTCCCCTCTAGCTTGGTAACAGGATAGTTTGAAAATAAATGAACAGAAATGAAGTGTTTTTAAACTTCATGTTGAAGTTCTAAATTTGTTAAACTATACTTTTAGATCAGAACTTTCCAAACTATCTTCTAATTTTTTAACAGCTGAAAATGAACTTGACCCCAGACACCGGCAAAATAAAAATAGTATTAAGGCAACACTAACATTCAGTTTCTGACTAAAGTCAGTGTGCTAAAGATCAATATATCATACATCATATAAATATGAAAACCTGTTTTTACAGTAATTTGTAAAAATTTTATCATTTTGCAAACTCATGCAGGTTTCAGCCAAGTTCTCTTTGGTGAAGCTCTCTATCATCTTTCTCATCACCTGCTCACTTTCCTGGTGGATGATGACCTTGTTTTTCCTGTGCTCAGTCAGCTCATTGTTCTGCCTTCCTGCATCAGGTCAGCTTTGAAACATCCTGGGCCCACTGAACTTCACTGTTAGAAGTGTTGTCTGAGATTAGAGTACTGTGGGCTTCTCTGCTCTCCTCCCACCACCACCCACCAGAAAAAACCCAATTGATGGACTTGATCCAGGGCTTCCAAGATTGTCCTGCCAGAGTTTGGGTTATCTTTCCCCAGTTGCACCTCTGAGGAAGGGAAGCTCACCAGCTGAAATGTGGCTCGCAATCCTTGCTTTGGCTAATGTAAATCTGTGTAACTATTTCTCCAGTGTGACAGGAAAACGTGTTGAACAAAACAGTCTCAAATTTATTTTGTGTGTAGTTCAGAACAACGGCTGATTTACATAATGCAAACCCATTGAGGAAAGTGTAGGATGAAGGACCTCTGGCATACTGAATGATTGCACCATTGACCCATTTCCATAATCCTGTTCCAAATTGACACCATAGTTCTCCCAACTTGCCAGGAAGATTCCTGGCGAAGGTGGGTGAATGAACACTTCAAGGTGATCAGAAAGAAAGGCATTAGAAAATGTCAGGCCAAATCCCTAATGGTAATCAAAAATTGGTTCCCTTATGGATGTTACCCAACATCTCATTTACCTCAGCGTGAAATCATTCCTGAAATTTTGTTTGAAAGACCAATGAGCTTCTGAAATGAAAATTATCACAATTAGCCTAGTTCTTTGCTGACATAATCCATCTCTATTAGAAGTTATAGATCAACTTTTCCTCAGTAGCTGATAAACATTTAATACCTGTGTCATGGCTTCACATTGTTGAATTGTTATGAAGGCAGACCTGAATTTGTAAGGGTTGGACTTTGTTTTATATTTGACTGATCTGTCTGAGGTTGAATAGAGTGGGAGCTGTATGTTTTTGCTTTTTTTTTGGAAAACCTTTTGATGGGACAGATAGAAAAATAAATTAAACATGTTGGGAGCTCATAAAGCAAATCGTGGTAGTGGATGGACATTTTTTAGGATTGATGGGATGTTGGTGCTGATGTGCCTCAGGAAAATATCCAGTAGCAAGTTTTATTTTCCATTTATAAATGGGTTTTTGGAAAGAGAGGTTTTCATGACAAATGCACTTTGAGACAGAGACCACAGTATTTTAAAGGAAATGGATGGAAAAGACAGTAAAGATGTTGGAGAAAAGAAGTGAATTAAGTTTATATCATATATGTTTTCATTTCTCTGTAAAACTGCACTGAGTGGCAGCTGTAACTTCTATGTATCAGTGGAAAAATGGCAATACAGCAAACAGCTGAGATCTTGCAGTATATACCACCTTGCTTGTTCTCCAAACTCATTTGGAACCTTTTCTATTTCCTGCACTTTTTTGTTTGTTTGTTTTTTTTGCAAAATCAAAACTTGCTTCTGCAGGTGAGGTAGAGAAGGTATCTGTTGTAGCTTAAATTGAATCTGCTACAAGTAGATCAGGATGCTGCAGATGACTGTATTTTGGAAGGGTTGCTGGTTTGGGATTTTCACCTTGTATTTTCTCTCCTACCTCTGATATGTACTTGTTTTTGAAGGAGGTCACTCCTTTTTTTTTTTGTACGTGGTCGTCCTGGGTGAAATTCCCTTGGGTTTTAAAGTCTATCTCAAGCTCCTAAGTGAAGCCTTTACTGTCCTTGCAGTGCTTCCTTTGGCCATCTTCCAGATTCAAGCTGCAGAATCTAATGCACACAGGTTGGCCATGGTCTCTGCAGTCGCCTATTTACCCACTGGAACCCTGCCAAATATCCCAGATGATGAGGGTGGTCACCTTCACATCGGAGGATGAACAAGAAGCTGGATCACGTGAATATTATATGGTTCCAAAAAGAGGCAGTGACCGAGTGGTATTATCGCTGGACCATTAAATCAGAGACCCAGGTAATGTTCTCTCGACCTGGGTTTGAATCCCACCACAGCAGTTGGTGGAATTTGAATTAAATAAATATCTAGAATTAAGAGTCTAATAATGACCATGAATAAATTACCAATTTGGTGGAAAACCTCATCTTGTTCACTGATGTCCTTTAGGAAAAGAAACTGCCATCCTGACCTGATCTGACCTACATGTGACGTCTGACCCACAGCAATGTGGTTGACTCATAACTGCCCTCTGGGCGAATAGGGATCGGGAATAAATGGTGGGCTAACCAGCGATGCCGCCTTCATATGAATGAATAAAAAGGAGAAAGCCACCGTACTAAAGCAAATTGAGGTGTGCCAACATGGACAACAAATAGATGGCATCTTTAGTGAGATCTGGAATGTTCAGTTCAGCTTTCCAAATTGTGAGCAATCTGAATTTAATATTTAAAGACTAGTTTTAAGAGAGCATTAATACATGGTTCAATGTGGAAAACACTGGCTTTTCCTTGAGAAATTGTAATGATTTATATTTGAAATGTCTTATTTTTCTTAAAGATTATTGCCAAAAGCGTAAGCCTATTGCTGGCAATGCTCCGTCGAATTTAGTTTGATTGGCACTGTTGTTGCCCCTGCTCCTTGTCATTGTGCTGTATTAGGCTGTTCTTTCATAGGATTTGCCATGTGACCCCCATCAGCTCGGAGAATAGATCTAATTATCTTAAATCGGGTTTCTGACTCAGATTTAAGTAGATGATTTTGATGAACCGAAAACATGCAAATTCACTGGTGTTCTGCATTAAGAGGCTTTCAATCGGTTGCTATGGTTTGCTGTTGCATTAAAAGTGACTACTTAATTATGAAATGTGAAAATTCAGCATAATAATAGATTGGTGTTTAACTGCTGCACCACCATAACACATTTTAATTACCAAGTTCAAAGTCATAGGAGCAGGTCATTTTACCTCTTGTCCCTTTTGAGCTTGTAAGTTACTTACATTTTCTTAAAAATTTATTTGCTCACAGGATGAGTGTGCTGAATAGACTAGCTTTTATTGCCTGTTGATAATTGCCTTTTAGGGTGGTGCTGAGCTGCTGCCTTTATACCACTGGAGTTGATGAGGTGGCAGGATGGAGTAGTTACACCCACAACATAGTCTTGTGCTTTGCAGATGATGAGGAACTTGGGAGGCGAGTTGCTTGCCATGGAAATCCTAGGCTCTGACCTGCTTTTGTAGCTGCAGTATGTATTTGATCCAGTTTAGTTCCTGACCACTAGTGACCTTTGGGATGTTAGTGGGAGAATCAGTGATACTAATGCCATTGAATGTTGAGATGGTTAGATTTTCACTTGTTAGAGGCAGTCATTGCCTGACACCTGCGTGGCATGAATGTTACTTGCCACATCTCAACCCTGGATGTTCAAATCTAGCTGCACATGGACATGAACTGTTTCAGTATCTGAAGAGTTAGAAAAAGATGCCAATCATTGTGAGATCATCAGTGAAATACCCCACCTTTGTCCTTATGATGGAAAAAATGTCATTGAAGATGGTTAGGACTAAGCTGCTCCTCTGAGGGGCTTGTGTGATGTCCTGGTACCGAGTATGACACAAAGTTCAGTTACCCCCCCCCCCCGTTCCCCTTTCATCTGATTTTCTCCCCCCCCCCTTTTTGTTTATTACTCCCCTGTTGTGTAGAGCAATTGCTGTCACCGCAACTCTAATTCAGGTCTCTCTCGTCCATCTTTGGACAAAGACTGTGTTTAGGTCAGGAGCTCCATGACCATGGTGATTTCTAAGCAAGTGCCTCTTGATAGTGATGGCGATGACCTCTTCCTCACTTGGCTGCTGATGGAGTGCGAATTATCTGGGTCGAATTTGTCTTTTTGCGTGTCAACAAAACCTACCCGGTCAGTTTTCTTCTCAATGGGTAGATGCTAGCATTGCAGCTGTACAGGCTAGAACAACTGGACGGTGGAGTGGATGAGTGGATAATATTGAAGCATGTGTTTTCAGTACTATTGATGTAATGCTGTCAATACCCATTGCCTTTGCAGTAACCAGTGCCTTCAGCCAATACTTCAAGTGGAGTGAATTGGATTGGCTGAAGACTGGAATCTGAGATACTGGAGATCTCTGGAGTAGACCAAGATGCATTGACCACTTGACAATTTTTTAAAAAATAAGTGGGATGTGGATGTTGTTGGTTGGGCCAGCTTTTATTACCCATTCCTTAAGTTGGTAATGAGCTGTTGTCTTGAACTGCTGTAGTCCTTGGGGTGAAGGGGCACCCACAATGCTGGTAGGGGAATCCTATGAAGAAATGGCAATATAATTCCAAGTCAGGATAGTGAGAGTCTCTTTGACACATGTTCACTTGTGCGCTCTCGCACCTTGGCCTTGACAACAGAATCCAGCCATCTTACCTCCACTCATCTGGAGAAGAAATTTCTACTGACCAGTGGCCTGCTGAAAGAAAAACATTCTCCTCAGCTCCATCTTAAAATGAAGACCCCTTATTTTTAAACTGTCTTCAGTTCTGGTTCCAAATGTGATGGGGAATATTCTTTGTCAATTTCTTGCAGCAGTGTATATTTCAGTAAGATCAACCCTTGGTCCTCTAAATGCTCATTTAGTGCAGTCCTGTTCTACAAAATAACAATTAATGCTGCCGTCATTTGCATTTCTGCTTTGAGATTGAAGGCCAGAGAATGGCACCCGCTTCTTTCAGTTTAAACAATCGCCTCTTTTAGTTCAATTCACATACTGTAGATGTTTGAGGAGACTCATTTGTATTCATTGTAAGGCAGTCTTGCTGTCCTTTTGACTGACCTTATTGTTTTATTAGTAGGGTTGACGAGGGAAAAGGTTTGATTACGTGTTCTGCCTAGTAAACTTTAATTTATGGCAGTCTAAAGGCAATTTTATGCTTAAAGAAAAGTTTTTTGGTAGTTATATAAAAACAGATCTGTGTTGCTTCACTAGACTGGCACTGACCCAGTCTCACAGTTAATGCCTATCTGTTCTGGAAGATTAGCTAGACAATGCCAAAAACAGCATGTACAGTTGGCAAGTCTTGCACAGTGTAACTATTTAGTGGTATTACTATATTAACTAGTAGAAACAGAACACCACCAGTTCATTTTCCTGTGTGTCCCATCTTTTTTTTTGTCCCAGTCGTCTTTGTGCAGCTCTTTTGTCCCTCTCTTTGTATGTGTCTTCCCCAATCCCACCCCCCCACCTCCCCAACACACCACTGACTCTGCTGTACCTTGGCATAGCAGATGCCTCTTCATCAGAGTTGTTGATGAGACAGAAATGTGAAGTGCCTTGAAGCTTTCAGAAAGTTTCAGTAAAGAAAACCTTTTACGTACCTGCTTGTTTGCAAGAGATGAAAGGCCATTTAGAATCTTTCTCTTGGGTATAATCAGCTGACAGCAAAAGCTTGGTGACTGTAAACTGCCTTGCTTGCTTTAGTTCTTTAAACCTTTTTGCTCATTACAATCAGGCACTTTCAGTGGAAGGTGAATTGTTGTCTTTTCAGAGATAGTAGGAACTGCAGATGCTGGAGAATCTGAGATAACATGGTGTAAAGCTGGATGAACACAGCAGGCCAAGCAGCATCATAGGAGCAGGAAGGCTGACGTTTCGGGCCTAGACCCTTCTTCAGAAATGGGGGAGGGGAAGGGGGTTCTGAAATAAATAGGGAGAGAGGGGGAGGCGGATAGAAGATGGACAGAGGAGAAGATAGGTGGAGAGGAAACAGACAGGTAGGTAGGGAGGAGATAGGTCAGTCCTATCCCCTCCTACCACCTCAAGCCGCACCCCCATTTCCTACCTACTAACCTCATCCTGCCCCCTTGACCTGTCCGTCCTCCCTGGACTGACCTATCCCCTCCCTACCTCCCCACCTACACTCACTTTTTACTGGCTCCATCCCCGCCTCTTTGACCTGTCTGTTTCCTCTCCACCTATCTTCTCCTCTGTCCATCTTCTATCCGCCTCCCCCTCTCTCCCTATTTATTTCAGAACCCCCTTCCCCTCCCCCATTTCTGATGAAGGCTCTAGGTCCAAAACGTCAGCCTTCCTGCTCCTATGATGCTGCTTGGCCTGCTGTGTTCATCCAGCTCTACACCTTGTTGTCTTTTCATCCTTTCTCTGCTACTTCCTTCAGTGTTTTGGCTACTATTGTTCTCTTTCAACCCGGATGGAAGATGTGGCAGGTGTTAAAATGAGCTAAACAAAAGAAAATTATTCCTGGTGTAGATGAGTCAGTACTGCATCATAGGAACAATTACTGAATTAGGCAACCACATTGATTTTTGCTTGTAATTATTTGATGACACCAGCAATTTCATGGTGTGATGAATGGAACAAGGGTTTGGCAATTGGAAATGTCACTGCAATCCAACCAATTTTTGAAAGAATAGTACAACTACGATTTACATTTTGATGCATTTAACAAAGTTAAACTTTTCAAATATCCCAAAGACCATTTTTTTTAAACAATTAGTGATGTATTTTTCCTATATTACAATGATAACCATTGCAGAAGTGATAGCCATTGTATCCACGGCAGCGTCCTACAAATAATGTCAGTGATAAGAATTTTTTTTAAGCACTGTTAATTTAGGGATAAATATTGGTGAACATTTTGCAGGATAAGTAGTGCATCAGGCATAACTTGCGTTCTTTGAAGTAGCAGGACTGAATATTTTTTCTATCAGAAGCAGAAAAATCTTCTGTTTTTAAAAGTCTGATCCAGAAGACTGATTTTAAAAATATAAAAAAAACAAATATTATTAGACTTCAGTGCAGTGAGAATGAAATTAAACATGCTCAGAAGGTGCATGTTGCACAAAGCACCAAGTCATGAAAGTTAATATTGATTTGACAAATTCAGAGTTTTATTATCTATTTGTGCAAGTATCAATATTTGAGTAGTACCGAAGTACCATGTAATTTGAGCCATGTTTTGATTGAAAGTTTATCTTTTGCCAAATCTGTTATTTTTAGACTCGGCAGATGTCATTTATACTTCGCGGCTATTCCCATACCCTCAAATTCTTGTCGTCTTTTGCAATGCTGATGGACGTTGCCAATGATATGTTTTGAGAAATGGGCTTCTGTGTTTACTTTTGCTGGCAGTGGTCCACTATGTAGAGCTCCAAACATTTGGCCCCAAATCTCACTGGCTGCCTCTGCAGAAAAACTTTGTTTAAAGTATTGGTGCAGCATGTGCTGAAAATATGTCACTGATAAACTTTCTAAACTGTGCACATACTTTCTACCCCTTACCCCTACCTCCCATTTCAGGAAAAGAATGCAGAAAATGCCATTGAAGCCCTTAAAGAATATGAACCTGAAATGGGGAAAGTTTATCGACAAGACAGGAAAAGTGTACAGAGGATCAAGGCCAGAGAGATTGTCCCTGGAGATATAGTAGAAGTGGCAGGTAGGTGAAATTGAATCTAATGATGCAAAATACTCATCTTTGGTTAGTTAAAACTTTATAAAATACATTAAACAGGTAAGACCATGCACGTGCCCTGAGCCACGTGCATGTGATATTGACATGTGTTTACAAAGACAGATCAATGTCAGTCCTGCTGTAGTCATATCTCAAGTCTTGATTTGTGTCTGTAGCTGCATACGTAAATTATTGTAAGTCTATAAATACTGTATCTTGTTTTGCTTTGTGCCAGGATGATTTTGTGTAGCTGTTTTTTAAATAATGCATAATAATTGTCTACCATAGCTGGAAATTGCATTCAAATTATGAAGACAGTTAATGGGAAAAGATTGCGGCAGTTGATATTCAGTGTTGATAAGAATGTCATCCATTGAGAAATTGGTTTCAAGAAAAAAATATTTTCTTGCTGGTAAGGCACTAGAAGCTGTGGAGAAGCCAAGGAATTTGAGTATCAATGTGCGTGAACAGCTAAAAGCTTGTGGACCGGTACAAAGTTATAAATACTGATTGATTTGGTAGAGGCCTTTGAAATATTAAAAAGAATGTTGTGACAAGGTAGGTACCTGCTTTCGAAACCCAACATAGAAGAGCTTGATCATTTGGGAATGAAATCGGGAAATGTGTGTGTGTTTATTTTCAATTGAAATTAGACTAAGCTGAATAGATATTTGCTAGGTAATAGTACGGGTGGGACATGGAGCAAAGGCAAATTGATCTGTAGTTCAGTTCTATCTAATTAAATGGCACAGTAGGTTTGAGGTTGCTCCACGTTCTCCAAGTAGAAACATGAATTCTTATTGCTTGCATGATTTCTTGAATTGGAATACTACCTACAAAAGTTTGCTAAACATTGAATGGTTAGTGTAGCTATTATTTGGAACCTTATAATGTAGGCCAGGGGATTCTCAAAGTGAAATAAAACAACTTGTTGGAGAAATTCCACAGGTCTGGCAGCATCTGTGGAGACAAAACAGTTAGCATTTGGACCCTTCAGAATTGGTGAAGTGAAGATGGACTCCCAAGTGCAGTTGTAAGCTGACATTATGGATTCATAAGCTCCAAGGCAGTAATGGCTACCATGGAGCTCTGTGTTCCTTGCCTGGTCCCTCAGGTCCTCAGTCTGTAATCGCTGGCTGCCTCAGTTCTCAATAAGGGGCCATGGCAATTTTGACACTGTAAATGGGGTCACAGTTGAAAAAGTTTGGAAAGCATCAGCACAGGCTGTAGATTAGCAATGCCAAATATTGAGAAGGTAAAGGCCCAAACATTCTATTAGGCTGCAAAGTGGTTTTTAACAACTATATCACATAATTTAGCCTGTTGATGAACTTGCTGTAGCTGTTTTTTCTAAACTAGTGAATATGAAGTGTGACTGATAGGCAAAACCACTCTTTCTTAAAAAGAATTGCAATTGCTTTCTAGAATAAATAATTTCTAGATCTTGATCATTCTTTTTTAATTCTCAATGCTTAAAAAACAACTCTGTGGATACTGCAAATCAGAAACAAAAACAGAAATTGCAGGAAACACTCAGCAGGTCTAGCATCCGCTGTAGAGAGAAGTCAGTTTTGTTTTGGATCCAGTGACCCTTCAGTTCTGAAATGTTAACTCTGATTTCTCTCCACAGATGCTGCCAGACCTGAGTGTTTCCAACAATTTCTATTTTTGTTATTCATCAATGCCAGTTTGTCTCAGGAATGAACATGCCTGGTTATAAGCTTGTAACTTGTTACTATAATTTTGGATTTTGTCTAGCTACTTCAAGGTGGAGCATTTCTGTGTATAGCCTTTATTTAGATAATTGGGGAGGTGGAGGGAGAAGGTGAGTTCGCACAGATATAGAATGCTGAATTGTGTGTTTTTCGTGATACATATTGGTGTGGAAAAGAGAAGCTGCTCAGATGGTTTTGCAAATATTTAATTTCACTTAATGGATATTCCCCCCCCATCGGGGATTCAGTTTTCATTTGTCCTTCATCATCTATCCTTTGTTGTGATAGAACTCTGCAAGTACTTTGCTTGGTTAGAGGACATTAAGGTTATTGGTATTCAGTGAATCCTTTTATTGTGTATGTGATGAGAATAATGAATAATGTTAGTAATTGAAGTGAATGGAGGATAGGAGAGGGGGAAGAAAGAAAGCAAGCTTCTCATTTGAAGGATAAATGTTGCTATTTGAATTTGTTGATTTCTTTTTTTTTCGTTTTCCACTCCCATATGTTTTCTCTTTCAAAATTTAATGTGAACTATCCTTGAACTCCAGAGAATGATTACTGAATTAGTTTGGGAAAGTAGAAGTTTACAATCTTACTGGGTATCTCAAATCAATGTCAGTTCAACAAGGTGAAAACTTTTCCTGGCAGGTATTATATTAACAAAAGTGTTTTTACTCTTCTGTTCTTAACTCGCCTGATTAATTTTAGAGGTTGGGAAAGACAACTTACAATTTTAAAGCCAGCTTTTGTTTTCAGACCCTATTCAAAAGTTTTTGAAAATAGTCAAATATATTTTAATCAGTCATACCCCATTTTTGTATTTTTCTTTGTGTTCCTCCAAGTGACTGGTTAGTGTTCAATCTGCATGATATCAGTAAAATCTTTATTTTTTTAAAAAAAACTAGTGAGCACTTCTACCTAGCATCCTTGTTTATCCTAGAGTACAGATAAACAAGATAATGTAAAATATAAATTGCAACGGTGTATCATTGACATAATGCAACATCTGATGGTGTTACGAAATTGATACCATGCCAGATGAGATGGTTGGATTGTTTACCAAAACTTGAATATTTTACAGAGAATCTTAAGGCAAGGGTGCTAAAGGCTTAGTTTTAAGGAGGGAATTCCACTTAGTACTAGGTCAGTCAAACCTACCCTTCTAAATCTTTTAAGCTGTTTCCTGGCCATGTTTCTGAATCAAATTTATTTTTGTAATGCGTGAAATCAGTTCTTAAAATCTGCACTGATCATTTTGTCCCAAATCTCCAACGGTAATCTGTTCTATGCTACTACCATCTTACTTTTAAAAAAAAAAACAAATTGCCTAAACTACTGAATTTCTTGACAAGGTTAACTGTAGTTGCATCCCCAATACTCAAATCTTGTGATTGACTGAAATTTTATAGATCGAATGTCTTGGCTTGCTATTAGGTTCTTTCTCTTCAGTGAGTGAAATAATGTATGATGATTCTTTCTCAGAGCCCAGTCCTCTAATTCATTAATCTACCTCCCCTGGACTCTATCTATCTATTCTTAATCTTTGTAATATGAAGGTCTCACCTCAAGATATATTTGACTTAATAATCTTTTTAGTCTTAATATTATACACTACCCCAACATCATTTTACTTTAGCAATTAAACCACAGTTCAGTGTTCATAGTTAATGTCTTAAAAATAAGCTAACCTTTTATTCTGCTCTGTGGTCTTAAGAACATTGCCATACAATATGTAATGCAGATTCTGGCTTGTTCTACTAAATCTGACTTAAAACAATGCACGTTAAACTTCATTTGCCATCTCTGTCCATCGACCTAGTCTGTCAAGATCCCATCATGACAGCAGTCTGAGAACACTCATCAAGTACAATTTTCATCAAATCTTTTCAAGCTCCTTGTATGGTAATAGTAGGATTGGATGAATGTTTGTTTAAGCTCACAGCTGTTTCCCTTTTATGCATGTTCAAAAAACCCACTGTAAACAAACATTACACTAGCAACTGCACTGTCACCAACAAACAGTCTCAAATCAATCCATTAAAGTGGTCTTGACAGATTTAACCAACATTTTTTCAAAGTTTTTATATCTCTGCTATGATGAGGATACTAATTTATCATCTCATTTCAGAATAAATCTGCTGTGTTTCTTTTAACTTGAATTTTAGTGGCCTATTCTGAACTAGCAAACTTATTGTTGCAACAGGTGAAAAGGGGTGAATTGGCTATCCTGTTTTCAACCTCCTGGATTTGCTGCAACGAAGATTTAATAATCTTGCAGCTATACCTCAGCCCATTTAAAGTGGGTTTAACTAGTTAATCCAAAATATTAAGGCCCCAATATTGTTCGTTCTTGTGGGGAATAGATAAAAGGAGGAGTTTTATTTGTCTTGCGCTTGGTAAGTAATATGCAACAACAGACAGCTACACCAAGCGTAAGTGCAAAATTTAAAATGGGCTGAACACCAAAAGGAAAGTGAAATAAAAGCAGTTTAAAGTACTTGGGGTACCTCTGAAGGTGTAAAAATTTTAACCTGAGATCATGGTTGGCTAATGATATCCAGAACCTGCAGCAGCCATGAGTTTGACTGATACCTTTTTGATTTCACAGATGTTTGGATGTTTCTCCAGTTTATGCTTTTAGCATTTGCTTTGAGTCAGTGTGAGAGAGCCTTCCAGTTCAGCTGAGCAAATACCTCTCTGCAGTGCCAAAACATTTGCCTGAAATACAGTTCATTTGTGTATTTCCATGTCTGTGATCCACTTGTTTCCAAGCTAGATAATTGGAGGCAAGTTCTTAATTTTTACTATGTAAAGTATGATTTACCAACAGGAGATACACGTTTCTTCATGCCTGACTAGTTTCAGTCTTTTGTTGATAAAATGTTAACTTCATTTCAGCTGCTTTGTTTGGTCTGCACTTAGTTTCTTGCAATATGATCTTTTGAGTGGTCACTATCCATTTTTTAAGACTCTAATTAAACTATTTCAGCCCATGAATGTCCAAAGTATTAACGTCAGCAGATGAAAGTCAAAAATTGATAGTTCATATTCTATCACTGTGTGTATTTATGTTTATACCTTGGCAGAGTAGAAAGAAAAGTAACTCTGGACTAACTGATGCTGTGTTTATCTGGTGGTTTATCCTGTCATTGTGTGATAGTCTGTTGGATTTTCTTCTAAAAAAGCACTTAGTTCTTGTATGTTTAAAATGATTTTGGATCATGACTGCAGAGCTGACTTCACAGTATTGTAAAGGTTTTTTGTTAC